TGGAAAAAGACAGACAAAACATAATTTGGGAAGAGTCAGAAGCAATAGAAACATATCCTGTCTGGAGAAGAAACGGAGAGCAGCAGGATGAAGAACAGGAAGAAACGGCAGGCTGATAAGGGCCATAAAAGGGAAAAATGTTTTCTGTGAAATAGAAACAAACCATGGATGGAGCACCTGGCTGGCTCAGTCGGTAGAGCATGCAGCTCTTGAGATCAGAGTTGTGAGTTCAAGCCCCCCACTGGGTGTAGAGATTACTTAAAAATACAATCTTTCTTTTTTTTTATTTTTTTAATGTTTCATTTATTTCTGAGAGAGAGAGACAGCGTGAGCAGGGAAGTGTCAGAGAGAGGGGAGATATAGAATCTGAAACAGGCTCCAGGCTCTGAGCTGGCAGTCAGCACAGAGCCCGATGTGGGCCTCAAACCCACGAGCAGTGAGATCATGACCTGAGCCGAAGTCGGACGCTTAACCGACTGAGCCACCCAGGTGCCCCCAAAAATAAAATCTTTAAAAAAAAAAAAAAAAGAAAGAAAGAAAGAAAGAAATTTTGGGCAGAATTAGCCAGTCTTAACTTACAAGGAGTAGGTAGCAAACTGTTTTCAGTTGGGAGGTGGAGGGCATTAACTGAGAGAAACTGTTGTTAATATGCCTTCTGTCATATTCAGGAATGACAGCTCAAATGGGGACCATACTTCTAAGAGATGGTGATATCTCAGAACTGCATTGTACTTTACTATGATTACTTCTAAAAAATTTGTTGTAACAGGTATACCACATTCATTTCTTATTATATTGTTATGTGTTTTAATGTTATATATTTATTATGTTAAGTATCCAATATCCTAATTTGTGTTATCTCTGAATCTAGGTTATACTTTCTGGCATCTGTCAAACTATTTAGTCATCACTACCTGGAACATTTTAGCACCAGGTGGCAGCAAAATCTGAGAGCTGAGATAAAATTCTTGGCAGGAAATTAAACACCTAATTAAGAATTTACGTCAAACCTCAGAATGGTTCATCAGGAGTAGCAAATGCATTACTTCTGGACTCCCCTTGTTTCTATTTAGATACACACCCCCATTTTAGTGAGGGATTATCCAAATTGCATATACACCCTCTCCCTGGCCCCCACACACTCACATAATACTCTGCAGACACAGAGAGAACAGCCAGCCAGCCAAGCGTACTGTGCTGCAAGTTAGCTTCAGAAGGGCAAGGATAGCTCACAGCATAGAGAGCCAGCAGAACAAACCAACTGGAATCCATTCGGAAAATCCAGGGTCTAAAAACAACAGAGACCAAGGACAGATACCAATTCCAAAGGGCCGGAAGCACATCCAAAGTCAGGTACCTGGATGAGACAAAGAGGAAATAGAAACGAAGAGCAAGTATGAAGCATGACAGTAACTCCAACTGGAGAGGTCAGCGAGGGCAGGTGCTTTGTTATTCTGCGCTATAGCCTAAACAGACAGAAGAAACTAGATCCATGCTCTCTTCTTAAAGGTATCCAAGGGTTGACTACCTCATCTCTATGAGACTCTCCAACTTAATGGGCTTGCCGAAGAACAGAATTCTGGGACCCTTTTCTGGTTTTACTCTGTACTTGGGGGATCCAAACTGGTTGTTTCCAAGCTTGAGGTGATTCCCTCATCAGATGAGAGTCAGTGCATATCTAATCTTGTAAGAAGAGATGGTAGTGATTTGGGATGGCAGTTCCAATTTTCTCTTATTTAAGAAGCACTGCCTTCCTTCATCACTTCAGATTTTATCTGGCTGGGACCTGGTACTTAAGCTGTCAAACCAGATAAGAGTTGCACACTTTTTGAACAGAAATACAAAATCATTTTAAAGTCCATTAAACAGATTTTTTTAGTTGAAGAGTAACTCAAAATTGCTAAGCAACTTTATTTTCAGATGCTTCCTTATCCTGATAAAGTTCCAAATAGTATTTTTTCAGTAATTATATTTTGCAAGCATTTTTTAAAAGCAGGTGTTAGAGCTTTTAGGCATTTTCAATTCTTTTCCTACTTGTTGTAAAGGCCCACAATTCAGTCCTTGGTATATGTATCAAACTCTCAAATTAGACACCATCATTTGAAGGATCTCTATAAGATTTGAAAGGGAATATTTTATAATCTTTCTTTCTTCCTGAAGACGTCCATGCAATTGCACATTTCACCGAATGGCTATATCAAGAGATTTTTGAAAAAAAAAAAAAAATGGGGCACCTGGGTGGCTTAGTCGGTTAAGCGTCCGACTTTCGCTTAGGTCATGATCTTGCGGTTCGTGGGTTCGAGCCCCGCATCGGGCTCTGTGCTGACTGCCAGCTCGGAGCCTGGAGCCTGTTTCAGTCTGTGACTCCCTCTCTCTCTGACCCTCCCCTGCTCATGCTGTCTCTCTCTCTCTCCTAGAAATAAATAAAATATTAAAAAAAAAAAAAAGATTTTTGTGTCATATGTCTACAGGAAAAACAATACTGTTTACTCCACAGAGCATTTCAGATGTTTTAACAGGTGGGAGGAATGCAGCTTTTGCTCTTAGAAAAAAAGACCTATTGTGGTCAGTAACTGCCCCTTGAGAAGTAGCTGTGTTTATTTTTGGCCTTGAAAACTAAGAGGTGGACTGTCTTCACAGAGTTTGTGGACAACTAGCAGTCAGATGGAATCAAAGTACCTCATGGTGAAGAGTGGCCAGGCACCCAGAGAGGCCCCAAAGGGGCCACCCCCCATGTGAAATCCATGTTATAGAGGCTACACCTCGGGAACCTGACTTGGCAGCATAGTGAGAGTGGATTTCTCTCTCTCTCTCTCTCTCTCTCTCTCTCTCATAGACACCTACTAACAAGCTCTGGTGTGTAAACCAGGAAGCTTGTTTATTTATTCATTTATTCATTCATTCATTTATTTATTTATTTATTTTTGAAAGCTCATTTGTTAACTTATAACTAGGGACCTGCATATGCTTCATCTATAGACAGATTCTACACAGAAAACCAAATTATCATCAAAAGTTTGCTTCACATAAGCATAGATTTGGAACAAGGGGAATTAGCACATGATTCAAGTGTTTAATAGCATAGCTTTAATGTAGTCCTATGTACTTATCTCCATAAGGAGCAAGACAGATTAAATCCGCACTTGTTCCTTTATCTGGACTTGATCTAATAGCTTTTCTAGTTCTGACACTTTGTGTTCAATTTCGACTTGATTTCCATTTTCTTCTGGTGCAAATGGAAGCATAATAGGAACTCAAAAGGGTCAGACAATGCACAACAGTAGAGAACGAGGTCTCAAGATATATGAGGAAGAAAGGGTGCCCTTAACTACTCTGCATGACTTCAAATCTCGAGACCCAGATAAATTCTACCCCATAATGTACAAGAAACAGAGACACTGTCATCCTCTAAGACATTTTGAGACATCACAGAAATGAGAAGAGGTGCTTAAACATTAGAAACAAGTACATGTTTTGCATTTCTAAATAGAGAAATGACGTGAGCCTGAAAAGAAACAAGTAAGTAAGCCTAACATAAACCTCTAGGAAAGCTTAGGCACATTATTGAGCATAGAAAAGAATGAAGTGATCCCCAGGAAGCAACATGAGTTCACTACCCATGCCTTGCCGTTCATCCAGTTCATCCTTTATATTCTAGGCTGCGTTATTAGCAGACATGTTTATTCATTTATCAGATTTAAATTTAATTCATATTTAAATCATCCAAAATAAATCCAGATTTAAATCATTAAATCCACTGGAGGGTATTTAATTTTCTTTCCATGTTACAAATCAGTTACCATAGCAGCAATTATTAGTTCGTGGGAAGCCTTAGTAAAACCCTGTGGTGAGTGAGCCCATCCTGACCGCATGCCCACTCTATCTCCTGTAGTCAGCCTAGAGGCAGCATTTTCGTTCTCATACTATTGCCTCGATTTAAAATAGCTCTAAATTCCTCCTTCAGAATTCCCTTCTGAAGTTTACTTTCTGTCTTTACAGGTAGAAAGGCATTACCCTTCAGATAATGCTTTTTAACGTTTCCAGAGATAGTCAAGTCTACTAGAAACAAAAAAATGAAGAACTTTGATCACCTAGTCAATTAAATGAGGGGGCAAGGAAGTGAAGATGGTAAAGATTAAGGGGATACACATACACGAAGGAAACTGATTTAGGTGGGAGTCTTATAAATTGGACATGAAAGGAATCTTTAGACAGGAATGTTTTAATGGAAGAAAATTGTCCTTAATACTTTCAAATTCTTAAAGGCTATCTTGTTTCAAATGTTTAAAAATGCATGTTAAAATGATAAGGGAGATTGAATATAGGACGACTACAGATTTTCTATGCTTTCCTTTTTTTTATAAAGCATTGTAATCTGAGCATTACAAATATATTTTAGTAACAGAACAGATTTCATTCCATTTCAAACACATTTTTATATGCATGATTTTTTAAACTGGATAACAGATTTTATCTTCTAATGTTCTCATAGGCTATAAATTTTAGATCTTTTATTTAAGCTTAAATAAAAAATTTTTAAATACATAGGAACAAAAATTTAGGTAGTTTTAAGTTTGTATCTCTGCTTACATTCTTTTGAAAAAAAACTTTAAAGTTTAACTGGAAAGGCAAAAATTTTCAGTTACCAATAGATTCACATTATATTCATAACAATGTTATACATGACTGTAACCAAATTTTTAAAGTTAGGAGATCAGCAGTAGTGTCAGAAAGTAACTCTGATAATGTTACTTTTCAAATGTGCTTCATCCATGCAAATTTCCCCAGGGGACATTTCAAATAATTGTCACTAGAAGTTAATTGACTGTGAAATTTTAAAAAATAGGAAATGATTTTTTAATAACTTTATTCAGAAAGGATAAAAGATGATTTACAAAACTGTATATAATTCAACAAGATGTTTTAAAAGTAAAGGAGGGATTAAAAAGAAAATGAATGCAGGGAAAGCAAGCCAGGGCTAAAGTGAATTTTCATGGGGCACCTGGCTGGCTCAGTTGGTAGAGCATGGGACTGTTGATCTCAAGGTCATGAGTTCAAGCTTCACATTGGGCATGGAGCCTACTTAAAAAAAATAATGGAGAAGTTAACTGAGTTTTGGGGTCACCTGGGTGGCTTGGTTGAGCATCCAACTTTGACTTGATCTCACAGTTTGTGGGTTCAAGCCCTGTGTGGGGCTTGCTGCTGTCGGCACAGAGCCCGTTTTGGATCCTCTGCCCCTCCCTCTGTCTCTGTCTCTCTCTCAAAATTGAATAAACTTTTTTTTTTTAATGTAAAGTGAAGTCCTGTATACCTACTAAATTTGACTTAGGCTTTCTAACAGCCAATAGAAAGAAAGAAAAAATCAGTTCCATTATGAATAAAGTTTTAATAAGCAAAGTCTATTTAGAGGGGGACAACATAGGTTCTAATGCCTGAGGGTGGACGAGCTCAATCATCTGCTGACCTAAAATATTTTCCGGTGATAAACTGAGCTGGGTACAGGTAGAATTCTATAATTTTTCAGGAGTACCTGAAATGTAATTCAGACCATATCATTTCCCTGCTCTGAAAAGTTCAGGAGCTCTCCATTGCCTATTAATTAGCTATAAACTTCTTGATCTGATATTCTTTTTTTTTAAGATTTTTAAAAAGTTTATTTATTTATTTTGAGAGAGAGAGAGAACAAGCAAAGGAAGGGCAAAGGAAGGGCAGAGGGGAAGGGAGAGAGGGGGACAGGGGATCCAAAGCAAGCCCCGTGCTAATAGCACAGAGCCCCACACAGGGCTCAAACTCATGAACTATGAGATCATGAGCTGAGCCAAAGTTGGATGCTTAACTAACTGAGCCACCCAGGCACCCCTGATCTGATATTCTGAGGCCATCCTCAAAACCAAAAAAAGGTGAGCTTCCTGAAGGCAGACATCATTTCTTATTCAATACTGTGTTATTAGCATTGTCACAGGCCTTTGTGACAGAGTGGGTGTCAACGGATGCTCAAAGATATTATGTAGAATGGGGCACCTGGGTGGCTCAGTCAGTGAAGCGGCCAACTTTGGCTCAGGTCTTGATCTCATGATTGGTGAATTGGAGCCCCGCCTTGGGTTATCTGCTGTTAGCATAGAGGCTGCTTCAGATCCTCTGTCCCCTGCCCTCTGCTCCTGCTCCACTCACTCTCTCTTTCTCTCTTTCAAAAAGAAATAAACATTAAGAAAAAAAAAAAAAAGATACTCTATAGAGGAACTCTCAGCCAAGAAAGTTGGTGGAAACCTCTCCAGCCCTCATTTCTGTTTTTGAAACGCCTTCCCTGCCAGGTGTGCGACCTGTTGAGTGCTGACTGACATCTTCAGAGTCGTTAATAATGGTAATAATATCTCCATTTCCCATTATGGCCACACTGTTATAACAATGTACACTTATTATATATACCTATTATATATGCTTATTATATTATGTATTCATTATTATACACTATAATAACATCACTTTGCATTTGTATAGTGCTCTACAAAGTGCAGACATAACAGTTTTAAGCTATCCTCACAACCAGCTTGCTTTGTGGTCTGAGCAGGGATCACAATCCCTCCTCTACGATGTAGAAAACAGGTCTCCTACATGTGCATCTTTATGAAGTGGTATGTGCCGTCTCCTCCCAATTTCCAAATGGGATGTGGTCTCTTCCTCCCCTTCAAACCCCGGGGGAATTTGTCTTGTACTTTTCTTATGACGCTTAATAGTAACTCCATACCTTGTATATAGTGCATTACAGTTCACAGAATAAGACTTCCTCATGCTAACTTCCTGTTTCTTTTTCATTCTCACAACTCTGCCTAAAGAAAAAATAATGGTCTCCTTATCTTAAAGACCCTGCTGCTGTCTCCACGCTCTCTAAAAACGTAAAAAGTGAAAGCTGCTCAGTAGCTCCCTGGCCATCACCACCACCACGCTCACTTTGCCATCCTCCAAGAACGGTGGAAACTAATATTGTTTGCTCCCTACTCTCTGCCAGGTGCTGAGATACTTTTTTTTAAATAGATAACACTGCTTCAATTTACCTCTTCCCGTTAAATTTGATTCCCCTCCTCGCTGCCCCCCACCAAAACAAAACAAAAACAAAAAAGCAAACAAAAAGCCAGCCAAAACCTAGATATAAATATATACTTTCCTTCTCTGTGGATACTTCGACTAATGAGGAAAAATAGAAAGGGTGGAGAAGCTGAGAAGGAACTGACACCCTCTCTGAAACCCTGCTGCAGTGACTGACGGAGGAGCCAGTTTCGGCGGGAGTTCTGCAGGGTCATGGAACACTCAGGGTAGATCAGGTAGGAAAAGACTCCAGGAGAAGTGTTTGGTGAGGAGGTTCTTCATTCCTCACCTTGGCTCAGAGTGACAGTTTCAAGACAGAAGATGGCTGGGGAAGAGAACCAAGATGGGGGCCACCACCAGAAATCTCCTGGGCTGAGGGCAGGGAAATCCCTGTACCGAGATGCAGCCTTATACAATTCCAGGGGCCACTCTTTACATGGAATCCAATGTGCACAGGGCCTGTAGAGTTGTGCAACACGGGTCCTCCCCTTGGTGTCTGGCTCTTTCCTCCATTCCACTGAGTGCCATAGGGGATAGCCAAGTGGGGGACCCTTAAGAGATTGGCAACTCTCAGCCTTCATGACTCATTTGCTGATCTGGTACTTGGTGTTTTGATTTCAGCTCATTTTATGGCTTCCTACAACTTCTTATTAAAGATGGGGGTGGGACAGGGACCATAATGGGATCCTCTAGATATGCTGAGTAGGAACATGAAGGCCAGCATCATGCCAGTGTGTGATTTCTCCCACAGCATAACTCAGACTCCTCGTAACAAAGATTTCCCCAGAAAAAGGTCAATTCCACCCAGACGGGGCGGCCTCCATTCTTTTAGCTATGTTTTCCTGGGGGAAAGCTTCACCTTTTGAGAGAGTGAATTTGAAATTACTCTAGTTCATATATGGGGCCTGGTGACTATTTTCTACCCCTTTAGGCCTGTGGTTCTCAAAACTGACTGCACTTTAGAATTACCTACAGAACTTTAAGATGACTGGTTTCTAGTTAGGAACAATTAAATTGGTATCTCTGAGGGTGGGGCCCAGGAAACTATATATGTTTTGTAATTTTTTTAGTATTTATTTATTTTTGAGAGAGAGAACATGAGTTGGGGAGGGGCAGAGAGAGAGAGGGAGAAACAGAATCCAAAGCGGGCTCCAGGCCCCAAGATGTCAGCCCAGAGCCCAGTGAGGGGTTCAAACTCAAGCAGAGAGATCATGACCTGAGCTGAAGTCAGAGGCTTAGCCAACTGAGCCACTTAGGCACCCCAACTATATATTTTTTAAAGGTTCCCCAAGTGGTTTCTTTGTGCCATCAGGATTGGGAATCTGTGCATCAGGTTTTCTTATTATTTCTCTGATCTCACGCTCACTGACAAACTGAGCTCCAGAGGGTATGACCTGCTGGAGAAGCTCAGTTGTGAACCCAGAGAAGAAACCGATGAGAGGACAAAGGCAATGAGACAGACAACATCATCTAAATATTTATCCAGTGCTGCATTCCAGGCCACCAGCTGTGAACACACGATAAATAACATAAGGCATCTGCCCTCCATAAGTTGTGCTCTAGTTGGAAAGACAGACATGTGAACAACTGTATGGCAGAGCACAATTAAATTGAGGAACTGTAGAGCGCAGGCTAGGGAAATAAGGGAAGGGTTTGGGGGAGAGAAGGAATTTGAGATGGGTTTTCAGGGAGGGGTAAATTTTTGATCAATCGAAAGGAGGCAGAAAGCATTTCAAAGGGAGGAACAGCTTCGTCGAACACACAGAAGCCAGAAAGCGGATGGGTTATTAGGGAATTACAGGAATCCTGGTAGAACTTCAGAAAACGGTGCGCCAGGAGGCTGGAAATTTAAATTAAAACTTGGAGGGCCTCAGAGTCTCCCACAAGGAATTGGTAGGTGTTGTGTGAATCAAGATTGGGGAGGGGGACTTAGTGGGAGGGGCCACAACACAGGTTTAATATTAAATAGTGCCATGACCAGATCTGAAACAAATAAGAACATGATCAACATGAACTTTGATAAGTCTGAGGTAGTTACTCATCTTGCCCTTTGGTAACCTTCAGTCTGCTTCCCTGACCACACACTACTCTGGAAACCTGAATATACCTCTGTTGCATTTTGTGTGCCGTTTACATTGTTCTTTCTGTTCAGAATGTTCTTTCAGCCCTTCACTGATTATTCCTACGTATTGACCAAACTCTGACGTCTTCTTCCCTGTACTTCTTTCTATAGCACTTTTTAAGGATAGCTAATAACAGTGCTTGCTAATCATATTGTATTTATTGACATGTCTGTCTTTCCCTCCAGACTGTGAGCACCTAGAAGACAAGAATGGAATCTTTAAACCTTCAATCAGCGTAGCTGGTTTGTCGGCCTTATGGACTGACTGATTGAATGAATGGGAAAGCACTTACCAGATGTTGGAAAGATTTAAACTTAGCAATCATGTCCTTTAAGGTTTAAGTACAGGGACTCAGGAAACTTTTTCCATATTTAAAACCATTTCACTCAAGTTTTAAACATTTCTCTTCTGAAGTGCTCACTTATACAAGCAAAATGAGTTGCTGAACCTATTAATTTATTTCCATGGAGGAAGCAATATTTCTTTCTTTGGTAATAATCTGCCAAAGAAATATTAAAGTTAATGTGTCTTTGGCTGGAGGAAACATAAATACCACTCAAAAGCCCCTGCAATCCATGGAGGCTTACAGAAGGGGAAAAAAATCCCCTACGGGCTGTGACAATGGGATTTGGGGGCTTGCTGGGCAGAGAAGAGGGAGGTGGGGCTCTTTGTGAAATTTGTTGATTTCCAATTCCTTAAATGTATTTCACTAGTTGGAGGATTAAAAGGTTTACTGGTGAGAGTGTCAGTTGTCAAAGGATTGAAGATAGATTCTATAATCCTGTAAAAGAGAGCTCCGGCAGCTTCTCCATCAGGAATCTAGAAATATTTGGTATCTTGGAAATCATTTTGCCCTATTGTTAAATT